ATGAAGCAAACACACAGTTCTTCATCTATCTCCAAAGTTCGTTCCGCTATAATTCTCATCATCCCAATTGCATCCCTGGTTCCTTTTCCTCTTCTAAATCCAAACTGATCTTCTCCAAGTACATCCTCTATTTTCCTTTCAATTCTTCTTTTAAGTATCTTTGCTATTATCTTTGCTGTATGTGCAATAAGGCTTATTGTGCGATGGTCGCTGCATTTTGTAGCTTTTGTCTTTTTCTTTAAGGCAATCATTGTAACTTCTGTAAAGTCCTTGGGCCACTCTCCACTTTCATATATGGTGTTCATATATATATATATAGCTCTGTGGCATACAGTTACATTTGAGAGGAACCTACTGCTTCAATTCTAATGGTCGAAATCACTTCCATTCTGAAGGTGGAAAGGCAGTGCGTTCGTCTAAAATGTTAACATGACTACGCTGAATCACATTCCAGCAGACCACATTCTTAGTACTTACTGCAATGAGAACCCCCCAAATCTCTCACACATCTTAAGTTACCCTCATTGCACAATACACAGTCATAGAATTTAAATATGAAATGAATCCTTGTGATTGTGTCCCTAAACAACATCAACCTGATAGACTTTATTATGGAGACATGTTTTTTGTGAGGTAGGAACTGAATTTTTAAATGTTATGTACATGAGCTTGAGGCTTCAGAAGAGTTAAAAAGGTATGGTATCCAGGGCATACTTTCCAAAATTGCTGTTTGCTGTAATATCAAATGGAAGAAAGTAAAAATATCTGAACACTACAGTGAAACCCCCATTTGAGGTTTCTTTATAGAGCAGTGGTATGGAACACTGAACTGAAGGAAATCTTAAAGTAAGGAAATTCAACACTGAAGCTATTGTCCTGGAATCAGTGAACTTGAACATTATATCAGTGAAAACCTTGACTTGAGGAATGTTAAATGGGGGTTCCACTGTAATTATTCAATGCTCCTTGAAGTGAGGTGGTATGAAGAGTGCTATGTGCACTTTCTCGATACCCAGCCAGTAATGCTTGTGTGAAGACTGGATGCCCAAGTGAAGATGCTCTAATATGTGCTCTTACTGTATGCTTGTGAAAGCCATGATGTCCCTTTCCCACTTGCTGAAGTATCAATGTATCGAATTATGCAAACTGCCATTGTCCTCTCAGTGGCGTCTTTTACATTAGTCACCATTTAAGCTTATCCCTCACACTAGGGACTGCAGAGGAAGTAGGGCCAGCTACCAGTAGTCTGTATGCATCCACCTCTCTGTTCTGCTGTCTGAGAAAGAAGCGCACAATACCTACAGTAATTCATGTAACACTGCTGATAAAAGTAGCTGTGAGTTAGTGTTTTCTGATACCTGGCCTGTTGTACTGAGATGCTTCATGCAGCTCAAGGGAACTGATTTGGGCAGTATGTAGCACTGTGTAGTCACTGGCTTCCCACCGCGGTGGTCCTGGATCAAGCTTGGGTCAGGCGATGTGGGATTTGTGGTGGACAAAGTGGCACTGGGCAGGTTTTCTTCAAGTACTTCAGTTTCCCCTGCCAATCTTTGTTCGACCAGTTGCTCCACAATCACCATCGTCTATCATCTGGGGCTGATGTAGTAGGCCAGCAGTGGCCACAGTACCAAGTGGACTCCATCTCACCCCACTAAGAAGAAAATGTAGTGCTGTATACATCATCTAAGTTTATGGGTTTCTTTTTGTACACATTTCAGTTAACCCTTTCCAGTCAAACATCGATATATAATTATATATGATTATAATCATTATAATCGATTATAATCGACATGGTGACTGTGCTCCCATGGACAAATGTTGATATATTATCGATAAAGTTTGTTTTGTGTTTCTGCTGTCATATTTCAATCATATGTTGCTGTAGACTATAGCAAAGCATGCATGAATGTTTTGTCTGCCTCCGCCTGCCTTCTGGAAATTGAGGGAGAAACTGCGTATGAAGAATTGGGCAACAAAATGTCAGAAAATGAGAGTGAGAGAGAGTGAAACAAGTGTTGTTACGTGTTGATGGGTGGGAATGTGAGGAAATGATGCCACTGAATAAAGCAGTTGAGCCATAAAAAAGACAAAGTGCATGGGGTGATAAAACATATAGAGAAACAATTGCAGAAAAATTTTGTGTCAGGCAGAAACATTGGTAATAGATGAACCAACAGTTGGGTTCAAACACAAAATCATTTTTATAACTTATAATTAAAAAAAACGAACAATGTGGGGCATGAGATTATTTGCAGTAGCTGAAAGTGACACTAGTTATACTCACAGTATAATTCCAAATTATGGAAAACTTAACAGGCGACATGTGTAACTTACCATACTCTGAAAATCCATTCATTTCAAAACTAGTTCTTCCCTTGATGGACAGACTACGACTCAGTGTGCCTGGTATTTAAGACTACCACTATTTCACTGACAGATGTTATAGCAGTGTTAAGTTGGCCCAAGAATTGGACAATCGAAAATGTAAGTACACATTTGGCTTGTTAACCTTATATCCATGTTGCACCAACTTTTTGGGCACAACAGTTCACTTAGTGGCTCAGCAGGTATTTAAAACCCCTGACAGCCTGGCTGCGGAAATTTCTCTAAGCACGACCAGAAAGGGTTAATCTCATCTTCTTTACAGGAAAAGAAACAAAAGGAGGCTCTTACAAGGAAGCAAGAAAAGAACCGTAGTAGGGTTCAGAAGAATGAGGAGGATGAGGGCCCAACAGAGCTGCTTCAGAAGCCGCGCGAGTACATCGTCAAGTTTTCATTTCCTGATCCTCCGCCACTGCAACCTCCAATTCTGGGTCTGCACAGTAAGTTGTTTTCTGAAGATATGTGATGTGTAGATGGAGGCAGCAGGTTCCTTCAAAAAAAGATAGTCTTCATATTCACCACTGTGAGGACTTCAAATCTCAGAAGTTCCTCCCCCCCCCCCAAGTGTATATAAGGTCTAAGTAAATACAGTATCCATTCTTTTTTTAATTTTACCGATGTTTTTAAGAGCTATGATAGTTCAGTCTGTTTAGTGACAATTTTATGGTCTGGATAATAGATGGTGGTCAGTTCCTGGAAGGGTCACATTTTCTGCATCACTGCTCCAGACTGACTCTGGGACCCCACCTGCTATCAAATGGTAAACAGAGGGCCCCTAACCTAGGATGAAAGAGGGGCACGAAGTTCATCACTCAGCTTCAACTAGTGCCCCAAGGTTAAGAATGACTGGAGCTCTACCTCCACTCCTACATGCAAATTCTTGGCGTGGTGCTTAGTTGAGCACAGAGGCAACTCCATACTGTCCTGTTACTGAATGATAACTCATAAGACTTTCACAGTTCCTCTGTTGGTGATATGTAAATCAAGGCTCACTGATGGAAACAGTTAACTACCTTTTTGTCCGAGGGAGGAAGCTGAGATAGCTCAGTATGGCAATGGGCTGCTGGGTGAATGGCTGAAGAATCAGAGCTTAATTTTTGATGGGTACGAGAGATTTTTATGTTCTCCACAACATCCAGACTGGCTCTGGGTTGTCACCCTTTCCATTGTTTACCAGGGGATCTTTCCATGGTGGTAAACTGACTACATTGAGGTTAAGAATGCATGGAGCTCCACCACTACTTCATATGTCTTCATTACATGGTAGTTAACTGAGCACAGAGGTAACTTTACTTTCTTTCCCCCTGATCGTAAGCTGCCAACATGTAATTTTCCTCTACACATTTGCTGTCGGAAGTTTGCCATCACCGACTTTCATATCTGCTTGCTCGGTATGATCATGTGCTGTGTGGTAGAAATACTTGGTCTTTACATTCTTTGACATCCCTTCTAGTAGTCTGCATGCAGGAACAATAGGTGGCAGTAATTTAATATTTTCTTAAGCAGTTTGTGTGGAAGTTGCTCTTGTTTGTCCTTTGTAACTGGCAGGAATGAGGTTAGAAATATGAAGGTTGGGGAAAGGGTGAAAGAATGAATAGTAATTAAGCAGACCCTGAGTTTGAAGCTTCGCATGATCTAGAGAACAAGTGGCCCATATCTTTACTTTCCAGACGTGACATTTGCTTACCCTAGTCAGAAACCGTTGTTCGTGACCTGTGATTTTGGCATCGATCTCAACTCAAGAGTGGCCATTGTCGGACCAAATGGTGTCGGAAAGTCAACGTTTCTTAAACTTCTGACATCAGACTTGCAGCCTCAGCATGGTGATGTAAAGAGAAACTATCGCTTGGTGAGTAATGTTGGAAAATGTTCACTGATCTGTATAATATTGTCCATAGTGTGTACTAACAGAGTAACTGTGTGGCACAGAGTTCTTCTTGAAATGATACTCACTCAGATGACAAAGACATTGGCCAACTTTTAACCCTTTGTAGCCTAAAGTTTAGCTAAACAGTATTTAAAATTTCATTTTTGGCCTCACAAAAAAAATGCCATGCCACCAGTTTTTTTTTTCTGTGGTGCTACAGCCCCAATTTGGGCCTAGGTCTACCTCCATGAAACTCTCCATTTCACTTCGGTTTACTAGATCTTACACATTCGGTAGGACTCCTTGGGCGAGTGATCAGCTCGTCGCAAGGCCTCTACCTGTAGACAAACACAGAAAAACGCACACAAACATCCATGCCCTGAGTGGGATTCGAACCCAAGATCCCGGCTTCTGAGCGAGCGAAGACAGTGCATGCCTTAGACCGCTCAGCTACTGTGACCGGCATGCCTCCAATACAGAATGTTATAATGTTACATTTCACCATCCTCAAGCACTGTGTAGACCTGACTTTGGAGCTTTTGTGCAGTCTGTGTGAAACATTGTTCATTGTTCTTTCTTTGTATTTCTTTATTAGACACTACATGTTTCCACCTAACTGTCCACACCCACAACAAACAGTTATGATGGCTGACCAACACACAACAGCCCCAGCAAGAATGTTAAGGGCAGCCATAATTAACAAACCAAACAAAACCAAAAGCAATCATGTGCAACCCAAGGACACCCAAATAAAACTGATGGTAACCCACATAACCAAAATAACCAGAGGCAACTATAATAGGAGGAAAGAAAACTGCATTACAGTGAGCAGCAGAATCCTTAACCATAACAACCTGTACACCTGAAGATGGCCAGTTAGGCCAAAACATTTTGTGTCCCATAAAGGAATATGAAGAAAGAATAGTGCACAACGTTGCACAAAGACAGCACAGAAGTTGCAAAGTCAGATCTCCATTACAGAGACTAATCACTTAATGCTGTTTAGGGAAATAATCATTGTTTATTCTGAGAATAATAAAAAATGCATAAATACCTTATGTTTTAACCCTTTGCATGTGATGAACTACGTTAAATTGGCTTGTGATACATTAAAACTACCATAGCTAAAGAGATCAACTTACTGTTAACCAACTGGTAGAGCATTCTGACAATAGATGGCATGAAATGTGACATACCAATATTTAGAGGAATTTACAGGCTTTCATGTGATCTGTGACTGTAGTTGTCTGAAGACGTTATGTGGAAGTAATGTTGGTTTTTCTGTGCAACTAACTTTTCTCCCAAGAAGCCTTGTCTTTTCTACCAGGTAGTGGAGACTTCACAGTCAGAGGGTTAAAACTATATTAACCACTGTGATTTAAAAGGTTCATCACTGTGTTCACAAAAGCCTGTCACCAGAATCTATCCTGGACGAGTTGAATTCCGCCTGCACCATTGTATCAGTATTTGTGTAACATATGTTGGAAACTTTTATTGTAAGGCAAATACGTTAGCAGAAATGCAGATAAAGTACAGTATTGCTGCATTTGGAGAAGACACAATGAAAAAATAAATCAGAATAAATCATGTCATCACAGGAGTGCTCTAAATTAAACAGATCAGCATAAACTTTTTTTTCGGCTGTAGGAAATTATATTCTAGTTGAATTTGGAACACAGAAACATTTATGCAGGATTTGAGGTTCTCACAGCAGTGGTTGTGAAGAGTTCTGTCTTCTGGGATGTAACACCATATCACCTCCATCCTCAGGGTTGAAGAATAAGCTGAGAAATAAACCAGCGTGAAAGTAGGTGGTGTCATGAAACAAGACCTTGAGGTGTGTATCCTCGTGACATCACTTTATTACTCAACACCATAACTACAATTCAACGTAACTATAACACAAATGTTGAACAAGTTGTTTCACAGTCGCTCCTTTTTTATTAACAACTCAATATACCGTAGAACTGTCGAACTCTCCATGCTCTCTTCCACTGTCTTCTACTGGTGCCCACTGCACACTGGCCCACACACCGCTCAGCCGGCCTCTTATACTGTTCCCTGTTGCCCTGTGGTAACAGTAGTGTCCCCTGTTATGCCACAGTGGGAAATGGGTGCCTACCCCCGCTCCTCTGCTCTTGCGTCACTTCGGGGGGGGGGGNGGGTTCGCTTAGTTGGGGGTGGAGTCCAACTGGATCCACTCAGCGCGGTAGTCACTGATTGGCCTATTGTAGCCTGCCCAGGGTGATTATGATGTTGGAGAATTTGGTGGAACGAAGATTGGCAGGGGAAACCGAAGTACTCGGAGAGAACCCACCCCAGCACCACCTTGTCCACCACAAACCCCATTTGACCAGACCCGGGATGAAACCCGGGCTGCCACGGTGGGAAGTCAGTGACGAACCGCTTGAGCTGTGGTGTGGCCTTCGGGCAGAGGGTTTACTGGCCTGTTACCATAGCAGCGGCAGCAGCTCCTATGCTGTTATGTCACCGCGCAATGGTTGTCTAACACAGCTGCTCTGCTGTTACGTCACCGCTGGCAACGCGTGTTACCGCGTCGTGCAGAGTCCACGATCCTCAACAAGTGGCAAGCAGAGGGCTTATTCTCCAACCCTGAGGATTAAGGTAACATGTTACTTCAAAACGTTGGTTGGCTTTCAGCAGTGTACATGGCATTATTAACCCAGAACATAGAACTTTTCACAGAAAAAGCTGTTTGGTTAAATAAAATATGTGTAAATGAAAAGCCTTTTGTAAAGTTCTTACTGAATGTTGCAGTAGAGTGGTTAGCATTCCTGCTTCTTATTTGGAAGGGCCCAGGTTCAAATATTGGTCCTACACAGCTAACAGCCTTACTGAGTTAAATTTTATGTTCTCTCAAAAATGGCCCATGAAGTGTATTCTCTTTGCATTCTAATGGAAGTTCACTGGCATTCATGTGAAGCTCTGGTAAACTTATGTCAGAGTACAGGGAATCACATCTTCAACCTTACTGAAGTTTTTCAGTTTCTTCTTTCAGATGGACAGTAAGCCAGTTTAATCCATGACTGCTATCCTTCCATATCCTTCCCACTTCATTATTCACCAATCATCATGTTAATTTATGCCCCGTAACTTCAGTTGAATTGTTTGAAAGTACAAGGTGATTCTAAATTATTGTCGGGGTTTCCTGTGGTCTATAATTTTCAAATCGGAAATAACAAAAAGAAACTGCTTATGGAATATGAAAGTGTAACTCAGAAAGTTTTATAATTTGTAAAATAAAACTTTTTGACTTACACCTTCATATTCCATAAGCAGTTATATATTGTTTTTCCCGGTTTGAAAATTATAGGCCATGGAAATCCCAACAATAATTTAGAATCAGAGTTGTATCGTTAAATAAACCATAAATAAATAAATAAATACATAAGGAAGTAAGGACACACCATATATGTTGTTTCAGGCTCCAGTATTAAGTGGTGCTAATGCTGCTCCCACCTCAGAAGTTTTTGCTTCCACCGTATAGTTATTACTGATTGTACTAATCTGAGAATTACTGTAGTAAGGTGACCCTAAGTGACAATGAAATTTTGTGACAATCAGTGAATTGGTTCAGAAGTTGGACTGGGGACACACACATACAGACAATATAGTAATCTTATAACCCTACTTTTTTCACATAGAAAGAAAGGTGGACTAAGTATATAAATTGAATTAAATTCATCAGAGTTTAGTCTATAAATATGTGTGGAATACATTTTCATTTTTCCAGTAATAAGCTTCTATATTTAAAAGCCTTTCTGTGTTCATTTCAGCGAATTGGACGATTTGACCAGCACTCCGGTGAACATCTGACAGCTGAGGAGACACCAGCCGAATACCTAATGAGATTATTTGATCTGCCATATGAGAAAGCCCGAAAGCAGCTTGGAACATTTGGTTTAGTCAGTCATGCTCATACGATAAAGATGAAGGATCTGTCAGGAGGGCAGAAAGCTAGGGTTGCACTAGCAGAGTTATGTCTCAATGCACCAGATGTTATTATTTTGGTAAGTACTTATTTCTGCAACCAAGTCTGTTGTGGAATATTCACAGTATTGTGTCTTCTAAAGTTTTTCTCTAGCTAAACTGGTGTGTTAGCCATTTTCATGTTTTTATGACAAGAACATGTGAGAAAGGCACCCCTTCACTTTGGTATGACCATTTATACGTTTGTGTGTTTGCATGTAATGACTTAAGAACTGTTGAACAAATTGTCATAAAATTCTAAGTTGGGTTTCAGTATAATTTGTTGATGCATTACAGTCTGGGTTGAATTGGACAGTAATGGACACTTTACATGAAAACCTGTTTGTGTTTCTATGTACATCTCGAGTGTTATTCACATATAACATGCTGAATATTTAAGGTGGCTTGGGGGAGAAGAAATCTGTTGAAAAATAGTGTTGGACAAAATGTAGGTACACATTTTATGCCCAGTACACTTATTCTATAAGCCTTGTGGTTTTTGAGATACAGAATAAATGTACTGGAATTGTTCTGATATGCATACATTTTGTAACTTATTTTCAAATATTAATTTCTGCTTCATGCAGAGGAACAACTACTGAAGTATTTGCTGTGTGTGTGTGTTGGGATTCACATTCAAACAACACATGTCAGTAATGTGCTCTCATTGCTTTCCATTGTGGACAGTAAGTTTATGTCTGGTGTACAGGCAAGTACAGCTGTTTTCTGTAAGGTACAGGATGATCAGTTCAAAACAATGCCCAAATACAAAAATATTGTATTTTTATATCTGACTGGATATAAACACAAATGAGTGTTCACAAAGGACACTGGAAGTGTCCTCCATTGCTCTGAATACACGTATTGGTCCTCATGCTCATGTTTTGAGAGATGTGTGTGAGAGTTTTGCTCCAATGCGCTGATTACATTTTTCAGTCATCACTTCCAGTTCTGTGCGTTTTAGATTTTTTTGGTACACTTACTCTCTAACCCTTTGAAGCGCTCTTTCCTGAGCATAGTGTGGAAAGAAAGAACTGCATCTCAGATGGATGCCACAATTCCTAGAGCATGCAAACAGATATCAGAATTCTTATTATCTTGTGACTGAACCTTGTGTTTTGTTCAGAGTGATTAAAAGCACCCAGGCTTTGATTGGTGCCGACATCCCTACAGGACATTTGTAACTACACATTTTTAGCTTTTATCTGAGGAATGTGGCTTGATGCATGGAACTCGGCTCCTACAGTTACTGTACCTGACACTGGGCTCCAAAGCTATCCCTGTAACAGGCCATGAAGGCCCATAAGGTTGTAAAACATCAAGGCTTCCACATTTTCTCTAGACAGTCGACTCAGAGATGGTGGTAAGATTGTCAGCCTTGTGTGTCACAGGGCTCCAAGGCATTAAGAAATCTCCACTTCAGATTTGGAGATCATGGTAGCCAGAGTCCCTACTCAGATGATCCTATCTCCATTATGAGTATAATATTTTCTGTTTCAGTATAATTTGAAATGGATCACCCTGAATTTAGAATTCTGTCTGACTTGACATTCTTGGAGTACTGTGGTGTTATCACAACTATACTTCATTCATATTTCTTCTTTTTGTACTACTTCTCCTGCTCCCCCTCCCCTTCTCCCTCTCCAGTGTTATACATGTCACTGGATGAAAAGAGTCCAGTCTCTTCCTTCTTCCCACAATCTTTCCTTTTGAATGTCTTGTTAGCTCTTTCCTGTTTCGGTTTATGATGGGTGTGGAGTATAAACATAGGTGAGCTTGTGGATGTGGCCAGTAGAGGGCTAAGTTCACAGTGAATAGACACTTGTAGCAAGGAAGTTGCATCACAGTGCTTGAACTGTATTCCTGCATATGGGTTTTATTGCTGTAATAGTTCTGTTCCTGTCTTGTTTTGCTGTATGACACATACTGCAGGGACTGTATTCTCGGGAAGCTGTCTCATAGGAAGCAAGCATCTTGTCACTGAATTAACTGAGTAGGTTGGCCTAGTGTTAATGCATGAGACTCATAATCAGGAGGGGCTTGGTTTGAATGTCAACCTGCACACCAGCTGTCCTGACTGAGGTTTGAGGCAGATGCTGGGGATAGTACTTAAATTTAGGTCATGAACATCTCCTTGCTAATTCATTTATAATGTAATCTCGCTAGTGATATTATAAAATGACCTATGAAGAAATAAAAAAAGAGCAGAAGTCCAGTGTTTCACAGACCTGTTCTGCCCTCCATGACCTGGGTATGATGTTATTATCAGCAGCAGCCTGTAGCCAAAGAAGATTTAATCGTTTTTATTCTTCACAAAAGCTCAGAATTTTATATTTTGTTGTTAGTTTAGGGCCGTGCCATAGCTCAAGTGGTTAGTCGCAGGCTTCCCACTGCGACAGCCCGGGTTCGATCCTGGGTCTGGTCAAGTGGGATTTGTGGTGGACAGAGTGGCACTGGGGCAGGTTTCTCCAAGTACTTCGGTTTCCCCTGCCAGTCTTCATTCCACCAAATTCTCCATCATCATAATCACCCGGGGCAGGCTACAATAGGCCAATTAGTGGCCGCCGTGCCGAGTGGACCAAGTTGGACTCCACCCTCCACTAAGTGAAATTAATTTTGTCGCTAGTTGCTAGTGTTTGTTTACATTGATTCCACAGTTCTCATGACCATAGTGCAGAAGAGAGTGTAGACATTCCTTTGTAGTGACTGCATAAGGACTTGAATAATGGCAAGCACTGGTGAATAGTTACAGATTTCAGGCTTTCACAGTGATTCATTGTTGATGTTGATCCTGCTCTGTGTGGCTGTGGGCAGTGGTGCCGATGTTTCAGAGATACACTCACACTCCATCTGAGCAAGACAGTGTTTGGTCCAGTAGACCAACAAAGAGAATGGTATGGTCTGTTGGCCCAAAACCTATATGCACACACTCTTGCCCTACTCATATCAACTCCTGAAGATGGAGGCAGCATGTATCTGTGAAACACTGGCATCACCACCCAAATCCACATGGTGCTGTGATCTAAGAGCAGAACCGACATCAATGGGTAAATAGTAGCGGTAGATTACAGTATGGACAATAAACACTCACTAATCCGGATTAATTTGGGGGGGAGGTCATCAAGATGAAGTGATAATCTGGATTACTGAAGCTAAAGGTAGCCCTAAAAGAGAAAAAGAACTTAGAACACAAATAAATGATAAATTTAATGATATAAGTAATGCTGATGAAAGTAAATACCAAAAAATATCACTGTAGAGCCTTTATTTAAAAACTATAAAAATATGATACATTTATTCATCGATAGAAGGCTCAGAAGTTGTACTTGTTTTTTAACGTAATGATGCAGGTTTGAAGGAACTGCCTCAAGTTTTGTCTGAACAGACAAGTGACTCATATGCTTTCTTAAATGCCACTTGTCTTTTTAAAGGGTGTACAAAATTGTGAACAACATTTTTCATATTTTGATTGAGATTAACTGTAACCAGATCAGCAAAGATTTACTGTATTGATACTAATGTTGATTGAAACATGTGAATTTAGAATATTTGTAATTACATTATGTTTCAGGATGAACCTACAAATAATTTAGACATTGAATCAATTGATGCTCTTGCAGATGCCATCAACGAATATAATGGAGGTAAGAATCTGATTGTAATTTTAGACACTTTGGTACGCAGCCCGATGAAGTAAAAACTTATTTCTCTATAATACAGTAGAATTTGCATGCACTGTTCCTTGATTTAATGTTTTTCGTTCTCTGACATCATTTTCATGAATGCCAAGTCAGTAATCTTGGTGCTAAATTGCCTGCATTTAAGATTTTCCTCATTTTAGTGTTAGTTTCCTCAGCTCTCTGTTCGTTAAGAAATTTCATTCCCTAACTTTCTTCATATAGTTCATGATAATGACAATCTTTAGAAACTTTGTTCTAATCCTCTTACTGTCAGACTAGTTCTGCAGGCCCTTCTGGTAATTCTGCATTGTTTCTCGATACCTGAATGTGATAAGAAAGACTGCTCTGTCCAAGATAAGCAGCAGTGTATGTTGAAATGAAATATGTTGCATGGCTGTGCCATTTCTTAACATATAAATGAATTACATGGAGTGGAAACTGGTCACTGTGGCTCAGTTCTCTTGCAGTGAAAGGGTTAATTAATCTTGTTGATATTCAGTTTTGATTATATTAACAGTGAAACTTTGATTTTATGCTCCCAGATATTACATTTTTTATGAATTTACACACTTTGTATATTGTCTGAGCCAAATGCCCTTAACAACAAAGCCAGATATTAACACATTTTATGTTTCTGCTGCTTTATATTGTAACATGTTTCGTTACTGAATACGCCGTAGAGATCGTTAATTGGTTTATTGAACAATCTACAAATATCGGCTACAATTAATTATCACAATGTTATGGGTTTCCACACTTAACGAACCCTACAACAAAATCTCTTAACACTATCTTCCAGAGTCTTCACGTATTAATAGCGTGGGAGCTATACAAGTCTCGCTGAATTGCACACTACAAATATAACTGGTTATCATGAACTATCACTGATTCTTGCACACGCGTCTGTAGCTCGTAACTTGCGAACTGAGAACTCGTTGATAACACACTGACTCGACTACTACTTAACTCAGCGACTGCTCACATTACAACTGACTCGTAGCTGCTGTGCAGTTCCCTTATATAGCCACAGTGGTGCCTGTTGCCATGTCACAGTAGGAAGCGGTTCCACGTCACCGTGTTGCATCACCACGCATTGCATAGCTACCAGGTTGCGGGGACTCGGCTAACTTCGGCTCCACTCGGCTCACTTCGGTTCTGCTTGGCACATCACCGCGGGGAGAGTGGCGGGGTGATGACTCGCCTATTACGCGAGCGCTACTTTACCGCCACGTGCCGCTGGGGAGGTAGGGGTCAACATGTCACACTGCTCCCTCCTTAAGGCTGTTCGTCCCGAATAGCCTAACGGTGCTTCCCGCGTTCCTTTTCTTCGGAGGCTGTTCTTGCAGCATCTTCTTTGTCCATTACATCCACTTCCTTCTTAAGATCAACTCGTCTCGAGCGGTTTCCTTTCCGCTCGCCAGAAGATCCAGTTGTGTCCCATTCATCCATCACTTTCATTCTATGGCACATTCACTCTCTCTGGGGAGCCCGGTTCTTCTACATTACCGGTTCCTCCTCTGCTTGAAGTCTCTTTTTCCGTTTTGGAGGGGGTCGTCCTCTCCATAAGGTCCATTCCTTGATCATTTCTTTCTTCGGAGGTTCCTTATGTCGACGTAACAGCTCTTGATGCGTTGTTTGCACTTGCTGACGTCGTCCCTCCTGGAATCCCCACCACTTGCTGGCGCAAGACCGTAGCGCCAAGACCTTTCTCCGGTATCCGAAGGTTCCCTGGGGAGTTTCCTTCTTGGAGGTATTTCTCCAACGTCGTGCCACTGTCGCGCAACAGGATATCTTCCTGCAGATGGCAGCCAACTTCATCCGGGATTCATGGTTTCCTCGGGTCCAAGATTTATTGAAGATGGTTCTCCGGCGCCATGACACTCTTGCATGGCGGGACACCTTCCTGCTGACGACGGCCAATTTATTCTGGGGTCCGCAATTTTCCCGTGTCGGGTTCTTCATAATTCGTCGCTTTCGGTCCCTACGCCTTTTCTTCTTCGGTTCTACGACCGGCATTACTTCGGCATCTTTTATGGGTACCTCTCATAACTCTGTCGCTTCAGGTTTCCTGTGCACTGAGGCCGGCTTGTCATCTTCTTGACGTGCCTCCATTACTAGGCAGGCCATCGTCGTTCCGACCGGTATCACTATGGGGACCTCTTGTTGTGCCGCCGCGGGTTTCGTGTCCACTGTGGCCAGCTTTTCCTCTTCTAGACATGCCTCCATTTCTTGGTAGGAGTCTAATTTGGCCATCAAATCTTCTTTGTCTTTCCTCCTACTTTCCTCCATCTCTTCCCTCTCTTTCCTCCTCTCTTCCGCCCTATCGGCTTTTTGTCTGGCCGCCATTTGCTCCTGGGCGAACAACAGACGTTCCATCATTTTTTCCATGTCCATGTTGTAGCAGTAAACCACTCAATGCACAATAATTCAATTATTTGTCACGTGTGTAAGTTCGTAACCACTTCTGACACCAATGTAACGTGTTTCGTTACTGAACACGCCGTAGAGATCGTTAATTGGTTTATTGAACAATCTACAAATATCAGCTACAATTAATTATCACAATGTTACGGGTTTCCACACTTTACGTACCCTACAACAAAATCTCTTTAATACTATCTTCCAGAGTCTTCATGTGTTAATAGCGCGGGAGCTATACAAGTCTCGCTGAATTGCACACTCCAAATATAAATGGTTATCACGAACTATCACTGATTCTCGCACACGCGTCTGTAGCTCATAACTTGCGAACTGAGAACTCGTTGATAACACACTGACTCGACTACTACTTAAATCGGCGACTGCTCACATTACAACTGACTCGTAGCTGCTGTGCAGTTCCCTTATATAGCCGCAGTGGTGCCTGTTGCCACGTCACAGTAGGAAGCGGTTCCGCGTCACCGCGNTGGCTAACTTCAGCTCCACTCGGCACACTTCGGTTCCGCTTGGCACATCACCGCGGGGAGATGACTCGCCTATTACACGAGCGCTACGTTACCGCCACGTGCCGCTGGGGAGGTAGGGGTCAACATGTCACAATATTTTCCTAAAATTTCTCTTTATTTTTCTAGTCCTGACTACAAAAATTTACCTGATCTTACATTTTGCATGCATAAGGGGATTTTTCAACCACTATGGTCCCTGCATTGTAGACACTTTTCATCCTGTTGCATCATAGCATAATTGCAGCCCAGTAGTAGCAGTGTGACTCTCCCATACCTGATAAGTTCGCTAAAAATATCCATTGCAACACAGTAACGTGTGTTTTCAAGAGTGAACATTGAACAGAATTACACCCAGGTTTAACTCTTACATTTTCCTGTGCCTGTCTGACTTGACTTTGTAAAGACCACTTTTTATCGTGGACTGAGATGAAGCAAGGTGGTGAAATATGGATGATAAAGGAAAGCATAAATCATTTGCAATAGGTGATAAAGTAAATATGTCAGCACAAGTTGATGCACAAATTGGAACATGGTGTGGTGTGTAGACCCATTGCTAAGCAGTGACTCTGTAAACAGTGGCTGTTTCTGGACAACCGCTCAGTAAACACATTCCCATGGCAACAGATATGTATACAACAATAAAGTTACTGTTGGAAACCGATTGTTTTCTGTGTGGTCCATCCCAAGATGTTATAAGCAAGGGACAAAGTTAGTTCACAGGCAGTTCTGCACAAGAGGCTTAGAAGATAGAACCTGAGCACATGGAGCTGAAGAACCTCCAGTGTTAGAAGCTGTTACAAGGGAACGTCTGATGAAGAGATAGCAGTCTGGAACAGACTGCTGTGGTGATTTGTGAATGTGGAGATTAGCAGTGGCACTGTAATTGCTTGTAGTTCCGAGTTGTGTGTGTAAGTGGTCAGTAAATCCATTCACCCATCCAAACACCATAAATTGTGACAGTATGTTTGAACTTGCATTACAGTAGAGATGTTCGTGTCCACACTAAACAATACTATGAAGTACTGTGAAGAAATTGAAAGAAGTTACATCCAGTGTGGAACTTTCTGTCAGCAGTAGAAATCATTAAAATGTTTGCCAGTGGAGGAACTGGAATGCATTGTTGAAGAAAGCATGTGAGAATAATGCTTCCAAAGATGGCACCCGCCTCAAGTAGAAGTGCTTACACATCACTGCGAATCTGGGAAGCAAACATTTTGGCTTCCCTTTGTTGGATCAGCAGACTTAACAGTCAGTATAGTGACAGGCTACAGACTGTATGGCTAGGGTTTGATTCCTAGAAGCGGCGAGATTTTTCCTTACTCCATAGCATGCAGACCAGCTCTGGGGCTCACCCAGCCTTCTTGCTAGTGGGTTCCAATGGCTTTGTCCTCGAGGGTTAATCGGCCGGAGCATGAAGCTTATCACTCACCTGTTGCTGAGGGGGGTGGGGGCTGTGCCTGCATTCCCTGTAAGTCTTCATGGCATTGTACATAAGTAATTAATAAATGGTTGGATAAATATGTGTAGGTAGGCTGAAAAGTAATGCACACATGCTTGTAGAGCGCGAACGAAATGACCTTCAGAAGCGCGCCAGGTGGCATGTGGAAGTAACATTCCCCCTCAATACGCATGCGCAGGTTTGAGGTCGTTGCGTTCATCCAGTGTATTTCGAGAAGTGGAAGTATGGAGACGTGTTCTAGTGCTATGTCAACGCGAGTTAAACAGCGTGCTGTTATCGAATTTTTAACTGCTGAAAAAGTGACTTCTACTGAGATTCATCGTCGTTTAAAGGCTGTTTATGGTGACGATGCTGTTGATAGGTGTACTGTAAATCGATTGGTAATAATTTTTT